AAATAGAAAATAAGGAGAAGGTAATTCTTACCAGGAGTTTATAATCACAAGTTACTGTGGAATTCTTAAACACATTCTTCACACGGTGATTAGATTTGCATGTTTCAAAGCCTTGCAGGATTTAAGAAGTAGCTGTTTGAACATCTTCAATAGTTAAAGGCTGTTTTACCATAATGGATAAAGTCACCATGGGGAAGACTGCTTTAATCAGAGCCATTTGACCAGCGCTGAATGTGCCTTGTGCTGTAGTCTCGGGTATTACCCTGTGCTGTCTCTGTCTCAGTCAGCACTGAGAACACATAAACATACTCACCAAGCAACAGAGAAGAGGCTTTCAGAAGAGTGGTTTTGGTTTGCTGGGTATTTGTGTCTGAGAATTCTCTTCAAAATCTGTCTTCAGATTTAAGAATTTTTGAAATGCCGTGATTTAAGAAGGGAAGTTACACACGTTTTTCTTCATAGACTAGTTTTAAGAGTGTTCCACAGTTTAAAAGAATCCTTGCTTTGTTAAGGCAGTAACATTGACGAGTTATTCTTTCTGCTTGCTACAGAACAGCCAGACACCGTCCCTCCCAACCCTGTTTGCAATAGTCTCTCACTTCCAGAAGCTCTTTGATGTGAATTCCCTGAATGGCATTTATCCTCGAATGAATGAGGTTTACACAAAGCTTGGGGAAATGACCAACGCTATGAGAAATCTCCATGAGCTCCTGGAACTAGGTAAAGACTTACCACCTAGCATCTGTTCAGGCCGTTTCCAAAGGAAGAAGAAAAGTGAAAGGCTGATCTCTTCATAGAAAATGTGTTGAGCTGCTGAGAAATGAGTAAAATAGATATATTCTTCACGGGGAAGATAAAAATAGGTTGCTGTCAATCGAGAGTTTAAATAGCAAAACCCATTATTTGTAAGCCTTTAGCAGTTGCTGAGGAATACCAGGGAGGCAGAAGAAAGAAGTAACAGATGAAATTGAATTTTTTAATTTTTTCACAAATCTTTGTTTCCTGTGAGGTGACTTCATAATTCTTCTTGACCATATTTCATTCTCTACTTGAAAGAGAAGTTTAAGAAAAAATAACTCAACCTTTGCTGTAGATTTCTAGTCAGTAATTCGTTCAAGTGTAATTATGTCCAGTCCTCAGAAACTTCTGTCTTATGCTGCTAAACTTAAAAGAAGTTGTTGAACGTCAAACACTAAGTGCCAGTACTCAGAGGCATACTTAGATACTCCTCAGTACTCATTCTCTTCTGGTTTGTACTTCTGGAGAAGAGCATCTGCTGCTGCTCCTGGGTGTAAAGGTTTGGCTGTGCTGTAGAGTATAAGCCCAAGAGCAGGGCTCCTGGACTGCTAAGGTCTTCAGAGCCTCATTCGAGGAAGGAAGCAGTCTTCCTGCCTGCAGCCAGCGCAGGAGATGAGGAAGCCTTGTGTCTCCCTAGTAATGGCAAACCAATGGAGCTCAGAGGACGCCTTCTCCAAGCCTAGTTCTTCTGAAATTGAGAGAGAAAAGGACAAGGAGCCCGTTACCTGCAGTAACAGCAGTCAAAGCAGGTAAAATCCAATAGCAGAACAAGTTCTGGCTGTTAACAGAGTATTTGTTGAGCAGGTTCCTTGTTGGCTAACTCCTATACCGTGCTTCTGCTGTGTTACAGGAACCCAGTGAATAACCCTTTCTCTCGATATGATTTCAGTTGGCTGATTTCCACTGGCGTAGGGTGCACTTTAGTACCAGCTCTGCTGTGAAAATCCACAGCTCTGACAAGTTTTTTAGCCGTCAAAGGATTAGTGAGACTCACCATTCCTAGCTGCCACTAGTTTCTTTCTGACCGTAGGCACTTCGTTTTCTGTGAACGATGGAACTTGTGTGCCTAGATGTGAGAAAACCAAATAAAACCTGGGCACTTGGAAGAACTGGATTGTGCCTAAGACACATCCCTGTTGTTACTGTTATAAGAAACAGAAGTGTTTGTTTTTCCACAGACAGTTCAGCTCCACCCACTGTGGTAGTGGATACTGTTGGGAAACTGCGTGACATAGTTAATGAGAACGTGACTGAGCAGGTACGGCAGCTTCTGGGGACCCAAGACATCCACAGGTATGTGGGGCTGTTCCGCTGGCGACCGTTTGTCAAACATCAAATTTAGTAATTGAGAGAACTGGCTAACACTGATACTGAAAGAAACTTTAGTAACTTGTTACGAAGTCAGTGAGTTGTGAGGGTAAAGGAGTTGCTACTCTCCTACATGGAACAAATCTTGAATACTTTCAAAAGGATAAAGCTGGCAAAGAGAAAAATTAAGACCAGAAAGTTCCAAAACATCTTGTTCATTTGCATAAATAAGGTGATCAAATAAGCTTATTAAGGATGGGTGTTTCATAAGGAGACGAAGCAAGTACTGCACGTGGGTGGGAGGAGAAAGTGTTGCAAGGTTTCAGGTGTAGTATTGAAGTGTATTAGTTGCTATGAGAACGCATGCCTCATGCTGCCTACAGGTATTTTGGGAACTGGACAACTCTTGTTCTATCTTCAGCAGGTGAGAACATAGATATCCTTGGTAGCAGACCCTGAGAGCTTGCATTCAGCATGTGCTCTGCAAACATCCTAAAAACTGCAGCAGGCAGCAAGTCTGACTTTTGCTGAATTAAAGTACTGACTCCCTCAACCTTTCTGCACTCCTTAGGTTTAACCAGAAGACAGCTGCTTATAAAACATTCCTTGCTCCACCTCTGAGCCACCTCCAGGCAGTATACGTAGCACACATAGACTATTGTTCCAGGCCAAAAATTACCTGGTGCCATGCAAGGAGGAAAGGAAGGATGTATATAGGGCATGAACAGTGAAATTAGAGATCCCTTTTTGACAGCTAACACACATTGGCTGCAGGTTTCAGAACCTGAGAACACGTTTTTGATGTAGATGGCTTTGTGTACTACTAAGTAGCAGTGTTTTCAGAAAGTAATGACACAGTATGGCAGAACAGCCAAGGAGATGAACTTAAAATGCCCTTGCACCTCTGACCTGACAGTCTCACTTGTGTATTTCAGCATAATCAATAAGATAGAAGAACACGAGTGCTTCTTTCCACCATTTCAAGCTCTCATTCAAGATTTGCTCTGTCTTCTAGGTGAGTAATATTTCCAACAGTTGTAATTATCTTCATGCCATTGCTTCCTCCTAAAACTTTAAATAGCTAACACGTGTTTTGTTTACTCCTGGTGTGCCAGAACACAAGGAGGGTGTGAGGGAAGGTGCTAACTTTTGCCTCACTCTCCTCTTCTTTCACTCCTTCCTCGGGAAGTGACTAAAATGCTTTATGCTGCATATATTCAATCATATTATTCCTAAGATAAGCTAAACTGAGTTTTTTCCAAAAGCTTTAAAAGTTGTGAGGAGTTTATTTCATGCATTAGCTGTATTTCTAACACTTAAGTTAAAATTTTGGCTGAACCTGAAGATGTTCTAGGTACCGTTCTTGCTTTTCATTCTGTTTCAGAGATCAGTAACCTGGATGACATTTTACCTGCTGTGCGAAACTTGAAATTAGTAGCTAGTTAAGAGTCAAATCTTGCTAGAAAAGACCAGACTGTCTTACCTGTGACCACTCCTGTTGATGCATATGATGTTACAGCTACCTCTAATCTCTGTTACCCTAATAAACAGCCTCAGATTTTTTGACATAAAAGCTGCTGCATTTTTTTCATTTTTCTTAATTCTTGTTTCACGGTCAATTTAAGACTTTCTGTAACTGCTATCAACTGGTCTACTCAGTCCCAGAGAGAACCAGTACATTCTGCATCAGAGTAGGAAACTGAACCCAGCACAAAGCCAGACATACTACACCACTAAGCATTTTGAACATTGCTGACCCAGTAAGTATGAGATAAAGGTGCTCTAACTGCCTTAGCCATAACACTTTCGTCCTTTGCCTACTGTGGTTTTCTGGAGAGGCTGTTTTAAAATGCTGTTTACATGTTCAGATAAGTTTGGGCTGAGAGCAGATTGTTACGCAGTGAGTGTTCTTTCTGGTTAGGGACTGAGACAGGCTAGACTGCAGATTACATTAATCTAGGCCAAAAATATTCAAAACTTGCTTCAGGTGGTGGCTTATGGGCTTCTGCCTAGCACAGATTTGGAGTTACCATGGTCATACTTCAAAAGTCAGTTTTAGAAAGGGATAGATCAAGTTTATTATGCAAGACAGTTAGAAGTTTATTGTACAGAAACAAGTACACCAAGCCTCCAAAAATATTTTGGTATATTTTGCTACAATGTTAATAAAGCTTAGTTTGCAAAACTCTGCTGTTCCTCAGGCAGAATGCTTTACTGTCAAGGTTTACAAGATTTTGAAATGTACTGTAACAAAGAACAAAACACGTTAAGGCATCACAAACAAAAACTTTAATGACACTTGGTAAACTAATCTCCTTGCTTTTGGAAGCTCATTATGTACATACCCGCAGCCACAATCTGCTAAGATACTTCTGAACAGCGGAGTATCAATTTCTTAGTTTCTCAAAAAAAAATTGCTATTAGAGTCTTAAGCAGTTTCTTTCGAGGGGTTCTGTAGCCCTACAGATGAAGAATGTTCTTTAGAAAATTATTCTTCTAACAGTACAATGCTTTCATGTTAAAACAACATGAATAGGATCCTGGGGAAATAAGACTGCCGAGCAAAGCAATGACACTTGGCTGGCAGGCTGAAATATCTCCAGGTACAACACTTCCTTAAGGGAGGAGTATTCACACTTAAGGGTTCTTTGGGGGAAGTGTGCCAGAAGCAGCAAAAATAAAGAGACAAATTATTCCCAATGTGGGGTTGGGTTTTGTTTGTTTTTTTTTTTACTTTAGTGAGAACTAATCTCTGAGTAGGATCATTAAATTTACATGTCCTGAGCTGGAGACTGCCTCAAATTTGCAGTGACTCTTCAAAACACGTTAATTACAAGAGATATATACATTCTTATAAAGTTGAAAAATTAGTAACTTATGTACATGAGAAGAAATCAGTTTTTCTTGCGTCTGCTCCTTGTCAGCTCATACCTGCAAGACAGACACAGTAAGTAATTATAGTAGTTTAAGACTTTCTTTAACGTTTTAACTGGCACAGCAGAGAGAACTTGGGCTGCTTTCTTGCTTGTGCTTCATAGGTAGCATGGCAAAGGAGGCTTCAGAAATGGCCTCAAACTTCAGCTCTTTACCAGGAACTTTGGATACGTCATTTTTCTCCTGCTCCTGTAGTTGCTGTATCCTACATGCGACACAGACACAAGCTGGGCAGGGGAACTCAAGTTTTCCTACTCTTTTGGCTAGTACTGGCTTGCTGCCTATGTGGATGGCAAGCTCCTGGACTACCCACACTGCATTCCTTGGGCTCCACTGAAGGAGAAAGAAGGAAGAACTACTGCCATTAACTACAGATATAGAAGGGAAAAAAAAACCCTGGTTCTTAATTTTTGCCTCAGACTAATGCTTAAGGTTTAAGTCTGAACCACAATGAACACACAAGCAAAACTGTAAGTGGCTTATTAGAATAGTTTCTATAAATGCTTTGTAATTAAAGTTTTATCATATATATATATATTGCTGATCAGAGTATTAATTTAGTTAAGATCTTTATCCAAGTTAAAATTTGTTGCAAGGCTACTTTAATAAACATAGTTCTTTTACTCATGTGTCCCTGTGGCTTTTATGGTAACTTAGAACATGCTGAAGCCCATAACTGACGTACAGGCCTCTCATTAAAAGTGCTTCCCAGGGCAGGTGCGGCACAGCAACCAGATTAACGTGCAACTTCGATAAAACCACCCCATCAGCTCAAGTTGGTCCTGCGTTTGCAGGTCAAGTACTCGTTGCTCACCAAAACCCACAGCCCGTTTGCCAGCACTCCGACAGCAGTCCTGCAAACTCCCAGCAAAGCAATTAGCAGGGTCTGAAAGTACGGAGATGAAAACTTACCATTGTGCAAAACCTTTTATTAAATCCTCCTGTGACAAGTCAATCCGCACCTTTAAGAAGGAAATTTTATTTCTTTGTATATTATTCTGCGTATAAATTGATTAGCTAAGCTAGTGCTCCTCCCAAGTCAGACCCGGTTTCACGTTCTAGGGCTGCAGCTCAGGCTCAAGGGAAAAGGAGCTTCCTGCATTCCCAGGACACGGATATTAGCCAGCCTCAGCCCTGCAGCTCAGTATCTTAGTAGCACTACTTGGAAATTTATCTGTCACTGAAGAAGTGATTCCAGTTTGCTTTTTCATAGAATCCAAGTTGTTCACAGAAAGCTTAAAGCACTGTTGGCAAATTCTGGGTTTTAAATCACACCTTTCTCAGCTTCATGTTTGTACTAGTGGAGCCATTCCCAAACAGGCAGCAGTGCATCCCAGGACCCTTTTGAAATGAAGCAGCACAGCACACGAATCACATGAGACCACACAAGCTTCCACGTGGACACAGCCTCATTTCAGGTGAAAATCTGGCAGAAAAAGTTGTTTCCGGATTGCTAGCCCTATTACTGAGACTGTGTTTGGGCATTACAGGAATCATTCCGACTGTTCAGCTCTATTAAATCAGTAGTGTAGCTTTTTTAAACTTACTTTCCCCAGCTCCTTCCTCTCCTGTGAAATGAACGGCCTGCTGTTTTTCACTGCAATGTCCAGTGACCTTTTCTTGACATCTTCCAAAGATTCAAAAAATTCAAACCTAGAAGTAAAGTTTTGAAAAGAGAGACTCAAGTCAAAAATTAAAATCCTGTAAGCATCAGTGGCCAGAAGACAGTGACAGAACACAGCGTCAGCGGCCAGAACTTCTTTTACCAAGAAGGAAGACACAGAAAAGGCAATTCTGTAGTTAATTTCATTCACGCTGTAAGAAATGCCTTCCAGGCCTCATGAAAGACTACGACGCTGCTGCTCAGACTGTTCACTGTGCTGGGGAAGGAGGAAAATATGCATCCATGATGAAATGCTATTTGCCTTCATTTTCCCCCTTCATGGAAGATCATGTTTTCCATGCAACCTTTATTACTCAGAGGAAACGGCTGAGCCAACCCCCCAAGTTTACAAAGCAGGCTTACACCACATTAAGAGAAGACAAAGGTTGAAACCTGTGGCAATTAAGTTTTTAATGGCTCTGACTCACGCCTCCGCACACATCAGCCAGTGTCCCGGGAGGTTTGTCCAGCTAAACCGTGGAAGTTCTGCCCACCTGAATAGCTTTTCCCCAAGTCAGAGTTGTAAAACAGGTAATGTGTTTTGGAGCGAAGTATTGCTCAATCTATTGCACTTAAGTGAGGGTGTACAGGACACGTCAATGCTGAGGATGAGGAAAAAGAGATGCTGTTCCTCACATCTGTGCTGTCACTAAATCAGTACCAGAGAAGAGGCAGAGGGAAAATCCACAACTCTACACTGTTTCAGTGTTAGGATGAAATATTTTAAAGCGTTTTCTCCATTTCTGACCTACGCTGACATATACAGAAAGGACCCAAAATAGGAAAAAACTGAGTCACCCAGGATAACCCAAAATATACGTATTTTCACATATGCATACCTTCCTCTAAATATGGGATTAAAACCAGCTCTCAAAAGAGCTCTACTTCTAAGCGTTACTGTGTTTGGTTTTACACAGAACACATTCCGTTCCAGTGGCAGAGCTGTGGACATGACTGTCAGCAAAGAGGTGAGAGCGTTTTACCCTGTGCACACCAGGTCTTGAGGACATCTATGTCTGTCCAAAGAATGGCCCAGTCTCAAAAAAAAGCTTTGCATTTCTGCCTTTGACTTTTGGAAAGATGTCAGAATAAGCATCAGGCCAAGAAGTATGAACAGAGAAGTAGGCTTTGTGAGGTACCCAAACGGAAAGATTGCCTCTGCAATGAAAAGGAATTAAACATGGGTAGGGGAACAGCTGCGTGCAAAGAAGCAAGCACAGCTTCCCCCTTGCCAGGGTCAGGGAAGGCGGTGGAGAGGTGGTGTGCCCTCCTACAGCGGGTCAGACAACACCACAGCAGAGCAAGGCCAGCCCTAAGTACTTGCAAATCATAGTTAAAGTGCCATTTTTTCCAGAAGACCTGCAAATGTTCACATGAGACAATCCTTAGGTGCGAGAAGAGCACAACTTATGTACACCCTTTCATTATAAAGAGATCAAAACCATTTCAGCAGCAATCATAATTAACGTTTTCTTACTTCTCATCGTACTGGGGGTTCAGGGTTTTTTTCTTAACAGAAGTCTTCTTCCTACTTGTCCATCTTCTATCTGGAAGCAGGTATATACGAACATATGGATCTACTCCACGATTGGAAGAGGGCACTAAGTTTCTGTTAAAAGAAAAACAGTGTTGACAAGCAAGGCAGCTTCTCCCACTGACTCTCTTACAATCAGACCCACCCTTCAGGGGTTCATGGGCCAAAAGTTTTTATCTTGGGAGTTGGAACATAAGAATACAAAACTTTAAGGATGTGCAGTTAAACACAATTTTCACTACTGAGTGTGTGACCACTTATCGAAGTTCCTAAATTAACTTTACAAATTCAAACTTAGGTGTCAGTCCTGTCAGAATGCCTATCACGACACCCCAAAACACACGTCAGCTGTCAATGCAGTTCAGAGGAAGTTTTGGGTGGGTGAGAAAGCACCTCTGCTGCAGGGAGCAGTACTGGCTGACCGCTCTCACTAACCAGAGCTGGTGGTTTCCACCTGCCTGGGCTTAGTCAGGCTGCATAGATCGCAGTCAGCCTATGTTAAGGCATCTCAGCCGGGCAGCCTGCAAGTGGTTCTGCACCAGCTTTGCTGACTGACAGAAGCTCAGAGAGCTCTCCCCCTTCCTATCAGAGAGATGCCAGCAAACGCCAGCGTTACCTGCAGCCATTCACCAGCACGACGAGACTCTGCCGGATGGAAGCATAGCGCACTGTGAGCTGAATCTCTCCCAGAGGCATTTCGGTCCCGCTGTAAGACAGTGGCACAGTCAAAGCTTTTAAACACGGCTCTTTAACGGGCCACATGCACAGAGCTAGCAGCACGAAACGGGACACGGGCTTCAGAAGCTGGCGATGCATTTTCAACTAAAACCAACTTTCAGGGCACTATTCTTCTTTCTGGCATCCAAAGGTTTGCTATCTAGAAAGCAGCTGGACCACAGAGGCACCACAGAAACAACACTCCCGTTGGCGCCAGCACTCCCCAGCTGGCCTTCTGTGCAGGCACCTGATTTCAGTCCCACAGCATAAATGGCCAAAAAAAGCACCTTACTGGCCTGCTGTAGATGGAGCAGCACAGTACAGGTTAGCATGTTACTCAGCTCCTTCAAGGACGTCTGCTATATGCAAAATCGGATCTTTTTTACATCTCATTCTGCATGCTATTAAAGTGGTTTGAAATTCAAAATATTGCTTAAAAATGGCTTTAAAATGGTTTCTAAATGAGACTCTGTTCAGAGCTGGAGAATTTGCCAGTCCAGAAGTACTAGATTGAACAGCTGGAGCTGGGTTTGATGTTCAGGTTGATAACCGCTCTGATGGTCTCTTAATTGAGATGGACCTTTGCTACTTAAGTTCATTAAGGATTCTACTAGCTCCATTCTGCGCCTCAGGAGAGACAGATCTGTCTCTGTCCTCCTCGACAGAGCAGACTACCTGCAGCCTCACACTTAGCACTGTGGGAAGGACACACACACAAGCACATTTATCCACAAAAACTTTGTTCATAGCATTATGAGAGTCTTAAAAAACTTTGCTGGATGAAACACAGCATCCAAAACTTTAAGCAGCCAGACACACCTGTCTAGAGTTTGTTTTTACAGAAGTGGGATATTCAGACTGCCAATATCCTGTTGCTAAAATCATGACTGTTATGGGACCCAGGATACTCTGTGTGAGCGGCTCTTAAAACAATATAAAGCCAACACATGCAGCACCTTAGGAGAGCCAGAGAAGCAAACGCTTTCACTTTACACCTGATCTGATAGTGACCCTGCAATTTACTTTACTGTTGACTGGAATATTTAGGTCAATTCTTTGTAAGGTGGTTTGAAACCCCAAACCTCAAATGACTTAGCAGTCTTGAATTCAACCATATGCAACAGCAATTTATAACACCTAAACCTTCCAAAGAGAAGAGCAATTCAGCTGGAAGAACACCTACTTATGAAGGTCCAGATTGCTGCTACTTAATTCAAAACAAGAAGAAGGCAGAGAACCCAGCGAAGCAACGCTGGGTGCAAGCCTCAGTTCCTCCACAACTGGCAACGTGGGCACTACCGCTGCTCTGGTATGCAAAGCTGATGACGGGTGATGCTCTGGATTTTGCTGGAGCTCTGCTTCAATGCCAGAAGCAGTTTCACTTGGTACAGGTGCTGCTGAACTGTCACTTGTGTCCAGGTCTTCTCTGCTGTCCTTTTTTAGCAGGGATTCAAGTGCTGCAGAGTCTTTGCTCACAGGAGGTACTTTTGAGACTTCTGGTTTTGGTGGAGAGACAAACTTTTGCTGGTTTCCACCCTTCTCCATGACACGCACGGGACCTTGCTTTGAGGCATTGACACCAGCCTTGACTCTTTGTGGATCGGGCTCTTCCACATTCAAGGCCTAAAAATCACACGGGAGAGAAATGAGTGCTGCTCCCAAAGCAGTGGGGTTAATGCCAGCATTACCACCTAGGACGAAATTTCATCACAAAACTGTAATAGTAGGAATTTGCCATTAAAGATGAAAGAGGCCTATGGGATTAGCTGTGATGTTCTCTTCCCTTGTCCTACTGTGTATGTATGTATTTAACAGTGTCCAAACGCTGATCCAGAGTGCAAGGAGAAAAAAAAATCCTAAGCATCAGTCTCTCTTACTGCTTAACAGCTTTGACTTCCCCAGCTTAGTTTTTCTCAATCCAACTCTTCATGATGAGAAGCTTTTCAGCTTCAGCACTGCACTAAGTTTTAGAAGCCTCAGGGATAGCTCTCAGCTCCACCGTGCACTCTTAATTGCACTTAAAAACCTTGTCACACTTCTACTTTCTACTCACCTGTGAATCAGAGTTGCACTTCTCCACACCCACCTTTCATCTCTTTTGCCTGGTTAGAATTGGATGCTTCCTCCACTGGGGAAGCCAGTGAACACAGCAAAGAACAACTTACCCGCAACACAAGTTTCATCTTGATGAAGCTGTCAGAACTGGAATGATCCAGCTGAAATCTCTGATCCAGAGTCATGTTTGGGTCCTTAAGTAAGTGGGAGAGACATACCACTGAAGTCCCCAGGACACTATCCCGATCCTTGTCTTTTATCTAGAGGGGGATGGAAAAAAAAGTTATTATGAGGTGGCAAACTAGAAAGCATACCACTGGGAATAGCAAAGCAAGAAGCTATTTCAGAGAGAGATCAAAATTAGCTTATTTACTTCAGGACATACTATCAAGTATCGTTAATTCCAAGTGGGCGATGCCAGTATTTCAGGACTGTAACAAATTAATATGTTTGGAGTAAAAATCTCATTTTTAACCATGCAGAGAATGAACTGCCTCAGCAGAAAAACTAGGCCCTGGGATTTGCTTGACTTTCCTTACTTGCATTGGGGAAAACCTACCAGGCAACTGGGACGACAACTGATCTAAACCTTCACAAGTTTTTTAGGTAATGGTTTGTTTAGCCTATTTAACCCCAGTACACCTTCTAAGTTCAAATCCACTTCTGAAGCTGAGTGAACAGCCATAGAACTGGCTGTGAGTGCAACGTGTGCTGGTGAAATACAGGATTTCTTAATGAGCCAAAACGCCAAGGTAAAGAGATAAGAGTTCAGTTGAGGATTATGAAGGCTGCAATTTCCGACAGAAAAATATTCATGGTTTTACTACACACAAACCTGTACAAAACTTCCTTCTCACTTTGCAGCCAGAAATGTCCCATGTTTTGAACTAAGATATTACACGCTACATGATCCTAGAGCAAAGGTAGTCACCAGCATCACTCAACAGAGAATTGCCAGTGCAACAACAGGTGCTTCTTCCACCTTTTAAGTAGGAAGACCCCAGTGCAAGCACACAGAAACAACCAGCACTGACATCACAGCCACCATAGACGAGGTTTCTTCCTATGAACGCGCGCTCGGTCTTCAAAGGAAAAGCTTTTCTCTCACCTCAACATGGAGTGACTGGGAATGAGCACTGTGGACAAAGAAGGTGAAAGCCTGGCCCCACATGGGATCTTTGCTGAAATTGCAGGTCTGCAACAAGAAGATGGCGGCATATACATTAGCTTATTCTATAAGCAGCAAAGAATACTGTGACACTGATCACTGACTGTCTTGTTTTATTCAGTGATGCTACACCCTAGCTGTATGGAGAGAGTGAAATTTCCAGGTCAGAAGTGTGCAGAAGCAAAGTCTCTGGCACAACCAGAACAAGTTCTGTGGGGCGTGGAAATGCTGAAGAACAAGTCTGGTGAGCTGCAGTTGGCCTCACCACTGCTGCCTGGACCAGCAGCCTGCCTCCTCTGCAGCAAGGCACCGCTCCCTCCCTTCCACCTCTGCACCCAGGCAGAGCCAGAGTGCTGCTTCCAGCCCACAGGCACCCAGAGCCAGCTCCCACAGCTGCAGCGAGCTGCATAGGAAGGGTAGGAAAGCTAGAGAGGCAGTCTGAGGGGTGTAGAGCTTGAGGAGAAGAGTAGGAGAGCACAGCTTCAGCACTCTCCACTTCAAGGATGAAAGAGCATGGAAAGCACCCACAGAGGCTGCGGCTGAGGCTGCTCCATAAACCAACCGCTTCTGCCAGGCCACGAGTGCTGGCAGTAAGGGGAAAGAGGCAGGGGAAAGCTCAAGTTTGACCTAGGAGAGGCAGGTGCTGTGGTGGGGAAAAGGGAAAGCAAAAAAAAATGGTTAAGATGTAAGCAGAACCCAATTTCTGGCTGGAGAAGGTGGAAGAAGCAAAGGAAAATAGGTGCCAGTCCCATATGCTTGTGTGTAGCCAACAGGATTCATTCCTAATTGTTGGGTGTCCAAAAGAACATAGGGCCACCCTCATCTGCTTCCAGCTGCGGGGCAATAAATGCAGCAGCTACTGGGATGGCAGAACTCAGCAGTTACTCATCCTCATCAGGTAAAAATGAATATTAAATAATGAAAAAGGAACTGAAAGTGAAGCAGAAAAGATTGAGATACATTCTTGTCCAGATAAAAACAATTCAGTTAAACTCCTGTGAAACACAGGAGCCAGGAGACTCTAAAGAAGGAACAAATGCCAGTTCAATGCAAATGACACCCTGCCCTGAGAAAGCATGAGCCAGATTGGAGACCTAACGTTTTTCCCTCTGCAACCCTTGTAAAACTGGAATATCTCGGCCAATGTGACCTCATGGCCATGAGCACAAAAACACACACCTGTACAGCAGCTGATCAGACACTCACTAATCAAGCACAGCTCAGTGACACATTGCTTCCACATGCTGCTTGACCCCCACCTCCCAGCCTCTGCAGCCACCACCATAACTACAGCTCTTCACATCATCTTTACTAGTCCGACCGTTCCTAGGGGCTGCCTGGAGATAAATACTTTCTATTTTATGGCTGACTAAGCAGAGCAGAAGAGTCAAACAGCCTCACCTTGCTTTTCTGAGTCTTGCTTCCTACTGTGAGCAGGACGAAAGAGGAAGGTTCTCGTTCCGTCTTCTGTAATTTAATACAAGGGGCAAAAAAAAGAAAAGAAAGAGACATTTATAGTTTACAGGAAGTAGTATTAAACCACTACTCTTAATTCAAATAGATAACAATTCCCTCCCAGAAGCAGTAACACTGAACCTCTCGTACTGTGCTCTTCTGCACTAGTGTGCTAAGGCTGATGATCTGCTCTTGGCACAGGAAGAAAAGCGTACACAACAAAATCCAAAATCCAGGATTCTCGAATGTGATGTGTATCAGTGCTAGCAACTCACCTCAACTGCAAAGATCGCATTTAGGAGGGGAGCTACTCAGAAAGAACGGGAAGCTTTATCCATTGCTCAGAGCTGTGGTTGTGCGCAGCTTGTTCAAGAAAAGAGGGAGAAGGACATTCTGCCCTACACCTACTACTTACATCACAGTAGCAAAATGCAGCATTTGGGGCAAAAAAAGTAACCTGAAGCACAGAGACAGGAGGCATGAATGACAGAGTGGCTTCTGAATCCCTCTAAAACCAAGGGGCAAGGAATCTGGTGGTCAGGTCTCCAATGGACAGGAAGGTTACCACAACCAACCATACCTCTCCCACCCCAATGTGGGAGATCGAACTGGAACAGCTCAGCATGGGAAGAACCCCTGCAGCAGCAGAAAGACGTACATGACTTGATCTGATGTCTGGAGGCTCTCACTGTCCAAAATATGAAATCAAAATAAAGATAACCCCATACACAATCAAACATTTCTGTGCTGCATTCTACCTTGGACCTCCCAGACTTTCACCGCGGTGGGGGCGGGCTTTCCATCACTATTTTGAACCCCTGGTCACTTAGATTCTGACAGTGGAGAGATTATTTCTTTTTAACCATAGCTAGTTTCAGTTGCTACGATACCGCACAATCCAGAATGTTGTTTTGTAAGCACGGGAGAAGAATATAAATTTTACCTTGAGGTACTTGTTATTTTTGATCTTCTTTGCTCCACATTCACCATTCGAATACTCAAAGTGGTTTTTCTGAATTAGTAAGAGAGTATTGAAAACCAATTAATTTGTGGGCTTTAAAAAAAAGGTTAGGAGTGAAGGCTGCCTGCACGTGGTTTGTACTTACAGGAAGGTTGAAGGCGCTGTCCAAGTAGACTATCAGAATAGCTGTAGACAGACCCTTCTTATCCTGCGAAGGCCAGGAAAGACAAAACAAAACACAAGGTAGGCATGATCGCTCACCAAGGACAACATAAAGCACAACACAAATCTAAAGGATGGTTTCTGAAAGCTAAGCAGCTCTTCACCTTTCTCCTGAAACTCACAATTCAGAGAAGCACAAGCCAATACAGCATGACAGTTTTAAGCAGACCAGTAAGAAAAGGTTTAAGTCTTTTCAATTCACTGGCCTTAACGCTCTTCTATCCCTCTAGTGCAGAACTGGTTGGATTCCCCAGTGCAGCAAGACACATGAACACATGCTCAACCACATGCATCAACATCAGAAATCCAGTGTCAGCGGAACAAAGTCTGGAAACAAATGTTATTCATTTCAGTGGAACTCAAATTCTTTTGCTTGATTATGAAGAAACAGCATCCTTGGGAGATGGGCTTTATCCAAGCAATTCTGCTGGACAAGTAAGACACCATTTGGATCCCTACCAAGCACCAGTGCTGGGTATTTGTCTATGCCTGGTACAGGTTATAGACAGGGATCCTACACAAATCCTAGGTGAAGAGGGAAAGGAAAAAAATATCAAAGAAAGGAACTGTGAGAGGCCTTTTTTCACCAAGTCAAGCAAAGCTTTGCTAATGCAAGCAAAAAGAGCTGCCAGATTTGAGCTACTCCTGAACTACCAAGGGAACCTGGGGCAAGCAAATGCCCTTCCTCATCACGGGGGCAGGGTAAGGAATCACACTGAAACTTTGTCAGACAAAAATAAACTCCTGTGAGTTTGTCTGAGGTTCCTAATTTTATATACTCCTTTGTTGATCACTGGAGAGGGATCAGAGTATCTAAATCCTTTAAGCAAATATACTCACCTCATGTAGATTTTCTTGGTCATTTACTAGTGAAAGCCACTCCAGTTTTAAATGCAAGTGTCCGCTTGTTGTCTTACTTAAGGGAAACCACTAAGTGGAGACAAGAGAGTAACTTGAGAACTGTGAGGCAGAATTTATATATTTGTACGTTGCAGTCTCTGAGACTTAGATACAACAGACAATATTAATTGCACTTAGATTCTTAGCTTGCATTTTTGGCACTTAGATTGTAGCATGTCCATCTACTTAGAAACACAAGCCAGAAGAAATGAAAATAAGATACCCATATACATGCACAGCACATGGATATTTCCAACCAGCAGCAGCACAAGACAGGCACCCTGGCATTGTTCACAGTGTGCTGGGTTGCAGGACAAACCACAATAAGGTCGGATCATTCCTTCCCTCAGCAATCAGACTGCTTCACCAAACTTTAGCTGTAGCCTTGTACAAAACATTTGCACACACAAGACACGAGATATCAACACATGATACCCGACTGCTGGCTCACTGTAACCTCAGGGCTGTCTGAGGTTGCCAGATTGATTGTAAAAATTATTTCAATGGCTACTTCAAGTTTACTGAGCAAAGGTATTGTCTTTTTGTGAAAGTACTACAATGCAAGTGTGCAAGGAAGCTTTAAGCACACAGAAACAATGTAGTAGCAGAGGGAGAGCACAAATGAGCACATGTCAGCATACACCACCAGCCACATTTAGAAATAAGCTGTCATCTTTACCTCATCAACAGTTCTGTCGTTCATTACATCCACTAGGCTTATAAGCAAGCTGAAAGACAAAAAGCAAACGTTTCAGTGTATACTTAGGCATATAACATACAGCTGTTGGGGGGAGGAGGGGAGAAGAAATTGCCACCAAAAAAGCCCACACTCATCTTTTCCAAATAGCAACTTCTACACGTTACCTGTGTGCGCGTGCGCTGGAACGCACTTACACTTCTGACATCCCCCTCTTGAAATACTTCCAAAACTAAAATATATTTTAAGTAAATCTCAAGTCATGTACTAACCATCACTTCTACTGGCTTCCTAGGATTCCCTGCAGGAGTCTGGGTCCATTCCCTACCTTGCTCAAAGTTAGTTGCTCTAGGAACTAACAACTCAGTATCAATATTGGGATAAAAGGAATAGCTTCCTTCAATATTAAGTTTCTGATATGAATAATCTGGGTGTCCTGTTTCAGAGGTAACTCGACCCCAAGCATGGGTCATGCTAATTTACCTGCCCATAAAGTCATCTTTATCTGGATCTTCATCGTACAGGTCCACTTCTAAGTCCTGACCAGGCACTTCATGAACAACAAACTGGAGGACAAGAGGCATTTATTAAAAATAAAAAGCATTCACGTAGGTTCATATAGGCTTAGGCTGCGGACAAGAAAGTGACACTTCACAGCTGTATAACACATTAAGGACATCCCCTGCTGTTTCGTGGCTGATCATATAACAAATACAACTGATGATAGGTGAAAACATTTCAAAACCAGTTTGCTTGTTTCTGAAATACAAGCTAAACTGCTCAAACTGCAGAGAAGAATCAACAGTAGAGCAGACTACAGCTGCACAGACTACTGCACTGATTGATATTTAAAGCAGTGCTTTGCACCGCCTGCAAAAACCCACATATGTAAATCAGATCAACCTGTTTGACATTTCAAGTTTGAAATGTAAATCTGAACTTGTTTAAGGGACAGAAATGCCTCATCAATCAAGTAACAAGGAAGTCCACCTGCTCCACTGCAGTCAGTTAAGAGAATGTCCTCCAAGCACAGGGATGTAAATGGCTGTGCATCCTACAGATGGAAAGATTGAAAGGTTCAGTACCTCAAATGTCTCATTCCAAATGGGATTAAGATCTCGGGAAACTGTCTTGCTTCGATACTGCACCGTGCCAACGCGAAGAAGAGCATACGGGTCAGACTTCCCCCTGATTGCACCCAGGAAACTGTCTTTCTGGACAAGGTTTTCAGCTTCTAGCAGATGAACCCTTATTACTCCCTGGATAAAATAAGATACAAAATTGGTCATGAAAATGCAATCTTTGAATAATAATAATATGCTACCTCCTAAAACTAGTTATTTCAGGCATGAAGGGTAGTCACCATGACAGGTTTACAAAGACATATATTTTGATGCAGTATATTTCAAATGACAGCTGTATTAAAACACTTTTCCCAGCATTTACCTAGGGAAAAAAAAAACAACCAACTTCAACAGATACACAACCCAATCTAGATAACTGGGTAGGAAATTTTCTTCAATTTATTTTTAAAATAGAAACATACATATGCGCACAGGATTCTAGCCACAGTCAAGTCAAGTATGGAGTGAAGATCAATCCCCACTGACTGAAGGAGGAACTAAGCATCCATTGGCAGGATCTTATTTTATGGCAGAGTAGCCATTCCCTTCGATTTGGTGATGCAAGTTTGCACTACAGAGCATCCCTTTGTCATTCATTTATATTTAACCTCATTAGAGAATGTATTAGTTATTTGATGGATGAAGGAGACTGAAGATCTGGATATATGTCAAGCATTTCAGAGATCTTAGTGGTTTGATTTTAGTCCCTGAAATTTTTTCTGTAGCAAAGAGACGTTGCCCTCTGAGCTCCCTACTTATATCCCTTCACATCATTTGAAAAAAAAAAAAAAAAAAAATCAGTAGTCTCGCACTCATTGCTTCTGTATTTACCTTCTCTAACTGAAGATCTGTGGTATTCTCAAATCTACAGGTTTAAACTGGTAAATGAGCTCAGTGTCTAAATAGACTTCTTATGCCACATACAGAGAGTATGAGCCCTCAGCCCCCATCCTCCCAAAGCATGAACTATCCAACACGTGCTTTTATATTTCTGGAATATTACCTACAGAAAGCCTACAATCCAGGTTGAAACAGCTGATGAGAGCTGGGTGTCCAGGAACCTAACACACTAAGCTTGTGTGCAGTCACATTGTGGCAAACGCGCACTCGGGTATAATCCCACTCATTGAAAAACACTCACATATGGGATAGGGAATCTCAAGTGGGCAATGTTCATGTTCTTCTTCAGAGGCACTGTGATCCTGTTCGGTAGAACCAGTCGGGCAGCTATGAAGTCTTGAATTAGCGAGTCTGACATTACGCTGCAGGTGCAGGGGGGAGAAAAAAGGCAACCTGAATCTCTACAATCGATCACAACTTCAGTCAGAATGAAAGAATGAGGTACAGTGCAAGAAACGGGTGCTGCAAAAGGAGTGATACTGCCCACCTTCTCCCAAAGCGTGCCTACATGCAGCTGCACATGGGAGAAGAAACTCATACATGTGACATTTAGCTTTGAACAAGAAGAAATGGAGAGGACAGTTTAACACCAGACCCAATCCCCAAAGATGGATGTGGATCACTGTGGAAGGTGAGGCTGTCTCCTATCAATAATTCGTGTCCAATTGAGCTGCAGCAGAGGAGAATATGAGCACGGGGCAGCCTCTCAAGATCCCGTTCAATCTTATTCCCTGTTGTTCTACACATAATCGCCATTGCCTTGCGGCATACATGGTGCAGCGCCCACTTGAACATGATGTTCCAGTCAAGGGTTACTAGGGCTGGATGTGAATTTGGCTCCAGCAGGTTGTAAACGGTGAATGGGAGCTCAGGCCACAAGATGAGATCATCACGCACCCAAACAAGTCCTACAGACTCATGTGCCTTCTCCGTTTCCTTGGGAATACTGACACCAGAGACGGACAAGGTGAGGAAGGAATCTGGAATTTTCAGCATTTCACAGGGGACTCAAGACCTTGAGGTAGTTTGGTTTTAAACTTAGAACATGGCCCCAGCGCACACTGCTGTCTGCTCTTGGTCACATGCTGAGACCTTACTGTACCATGAAAGGAAGAGCCAGCCACACTCAGTTTGGCTTTTGGTGGTTTTTTTTGGTTTGCTTTTTTAGAAGACTCAGCAAAAGATGAGATTCTGTATCTTGATATATTTTGCACTAAGAAGGAAAACCTTGTTTGAAGTAACTGGAACTCTGGTACACAGGAGATGACACAGGCTGAACCAAGGGTACTGTCTGTCTTGGATTTTAGGGAACTTTCCAGTCCAATCTAAAACTTACACATTTTCTGCTTCCAGTTCAAATCTTTTCTTTGGAATTGCTCTACTTGTATGATGGGGACAACTAATTTGACCTACTTCTCCTAAGCAAGCACATAGCTATCATAGATGTCCAGTACTCTCCAGGTGATTAATAAGAGGATTTCAATATTCTTGGCATGAACAGAAGACAATATTAACAGGAAAACCCGAGAGCACAAAACATCTGAAAGACTTTCATTCTTTTGATAAATCTAGTGCTTACAAGGCAGCTTCTCAGGGTAAGATTGTGCAACAAAATGTTCACAGTTCACAGATGAGGCTGGATTTGCACGGAAGGAAAGTACTCTCCTACTCCAAATGTAAAACCAGAAGCCTGAAAGCCCTTGGTCAGGCTTTTGGCTTTCCTGTCAAAAAATACCCACAGGAAGGTCACAGACGTGCCCCTTCTCTTGAGTCTCAGGGTACACCCAATTAAACACCGCTTGTACATGAGGACAGACAACTGCATCCAGTTTCTTCAGTCTCTTAAGAAAGCCCAATTCATTTGAAAGGGAGAGCTCTTGTTCAACCTGTACTTCAGCCTATTCACCGTCATGCATGTTTTGCTCCTGGCTTTCATGTGTAGTGCCGATGGACAAGCAAGAGCGTCTGTGTTCAGATCCCTGTGAGAGAACCAGGGAGTGAAAACGTAGGACACCAAATTTGCACTTAATTATACAAGAGGCTGTAGGTTGGAACACCTACATACCTCCTCCCTGCAAGGATTAAGGAAAGCTGCGTTAGAAAAGAACAGATCAATTCTTCTGATAAAAACTGGAGCTCTCAGGGCAAATTTCGGGACAAAAAGCCACTCTGGCCTCAAATTAAGGAAAAAAAACAAGCTTCCTCTCACTCAACATCAAAGGTCTTCAGAGACTCTTTAATGCACAAACTGGCACCTAAAGTGGCCAGCCACTTCCTATGAATCTGCAAACCACCAGTTGCAGGGGAAGAGAGGGGAGCCAAAGTGTCTGCATTTGCATTTAAAGGGAGGAAAGAAATGGCTGAGCAACCAAATACATTTTGTTCTTGTGTAACAGGTTTTCTCCTTACACTGAGGAAATAAGGAAAAAGCAAATCTTCGAACTGGAGAAACAGTTTGAAACTTACAGTACTGAAAACCACTAACATGTTCATCCTTGTTGCACGAGTTTTATGTACAAGAGGCCTTGTCAACCCAAGAGGCATTGGGGAAGAGCTACATTTTCTGAAGAACCTAAAGGATGAGCAGATTGCACAGAAAGAGAAGAACATTTCTCCTTGTATATCTGGTGCAGTTTTCTTTATCATGGATTGTACTTCAGCTTGTCAGAGGGACTGCAAGTCTGTGATATCTGCCTTTTCCACTTTAAGGTAAACAAATATAAGCACAGACTGCCAGTCACCTAGATCTACCTCTACCTCTGCAAGTAACTGGCACATGGGAAACAGAAGGGCTTGGTTTTCAGTTTCTAGATCATTTTAGTTTGGGTGATTTACGATTTCCATCCTAAATCCCAAATGCAATGAAGCAATTGAAGCAATTTTGACGGAATGTAAAAAGCACCCTTCTCAGGTTTTGCAGACTCTACAGCCAGATATGATGGGATGAGTATCAGCACAACATCTTTTACTCAATGGTCTTGAGAATAGCTTTCATGATTACTGAAGAACACCATCCCAACTTCCAAGGGCTTTTTAAAGAAGAATAAAGTGAAGCAAAGTAGACACTTACTTAATCCCTGGAACATCCAATAGATTGCTCATGCCTGCCCAGTTGATTTCCAAGTGCTACAACAAGAGAGAGAGTGCTACATCAAGGAGAAAAATTATATAGGACCATCAAAATTTATTTCAGAACAAATGTGGAATTTAAAGGGGAAGCAAATTATTTTAAAACAAAGTCAGCTGTTTAAAGAAAGCAAAATCTGCACCAGTAAGTGACTACATTTGTACATTGAAACCAACAGCTGGTCTCAATTCCCTCATCTGTTTTACCTGCCACACCTGAAATCCGCTAGCAATGGCCACTGGCACATGCCCTGGGGTCATGCGTAGTAAATTCCACAGCTCTACCTACACTTTCAAGCTGTTTCCTCATCCTTTCACTCAGGGGTTGGCCTATGCCCCGAGGCAGGGGGATTTACAAACACCACCCACTTCAAGAGTCTGTGTTTCTATTCTCACAATAAACAAAAAGGCTTTTTTCATGTGTTAAAATAATGCTACTACATCTAAACACAAAAACACCTCATTCATGATCAAAAACGTATGACTTCTAGGAACTCAGGCAGAGAATAACCCACAAGCAAGCAAAGCTGTGCACCATAAGATAACTGGTTCTTACAAGACTAGAAGGTTTCTCATATTTTATTAAACCACAATTCAACTACAAGGCACATGACCTTAAATAGGCAAGCTTTCAAAGCAGGACCGTGACTGAATGTTCTCCAAGATGACTGCATTTAAAATCTACAAATGGGAAGACCTAAAATCCACCTGCCAGGAACCTAGCAAAGGCCTCCAAAATGCCTGCTGTGCTGTCACCAGCAGAAAGTCCTCCCATTCTTAGAGCAAGGCAAGTAACTTTTTAGGCACTACTGCAAGAGAACGGGGCAAAATCATTCCCATCCTCTTGGGGTTCAAGAGGAGCATTGAACAATCAGGAATTTGCTATTCAAACACCTGCACGGAGAGGCTTTCACAGTCATGCAGTTTGGGTTACCAGGGATGGACAGCCTGTGTCGTTCACTGACGACCTATCCATGCATGAAGACAGACCAAGTACCAAGAGGGCTGCGGAGTGCAGCTCACTACTGACTCACCGGTTTCTGCATAAAAAACAAGGTCACCGCTCCAATAAAAGGTGCATCGGTTAGAAGAGGTTCCAGTATCACCCGCAGCGTCCCATACAACTGCAAACAGAATAGACCAAGGAAAACTGAGCCTGAAGGTACTCTCAGGATGCAGTTTCAAAACAGTGAGCTTTTCAGTGATGGAGGTAATGTAAAAAGTCCCACTTGAAGTCACTTTATTTCAAATTTAATAACATAAATAACCCCCTCCCCCCGAAACCACTGCTATTGATATTGGGTGATGTTTTCTAAGTTTGTGGAGCCTCTCTGCAATCCTGACTGCCATATAATGGAGCGCTTTCCCTATAAGTTTTCAACATTGCATGAACAGGTTGTTGTTCTACTATAAACCAGTTCATGAACACCCTGACAGAACTGGCTCTCCTGAAGTCCTCTGCCAACACGAGCTCCTCCGAACTCCAGTGAAAGAAGATGGCCCACATGAGCTCGATGCTTTAGCCCTGACCCCATTTAAGAGTCACATTAAGAAGCTTAAAAGTGGTATTTAGGTGCTTTCCAAGGAAGACATCATTTCCCCAGCTGAAACACAAGGAGATAATGCCAATCATTCCAAGCCTGCTAGTTGGTGATTTCCCAGTTGTCATGACCTCCCCACTGAGGCATTCTATCTCCTGCCATACACAGCCTTGAACAGACAACGTTAGCACTGCACGCACCTGTATGCCTTTCACTCCAAGGTTAAATTTCGATATGTCCATGTGAATCTCACAGTCTCCTATGTAACTGGAAGAAAATTCTCACATTATTCCATAGTTTGCAATAGTCCACGAGAAACACTGGGCTGTACAGAGCATAACAGAAACTAGTTTAACGATTGACAACATGACCCCATGGGCACAGATGGATTTTCAAGCAACTGAAAAGGGAGAGTTAAGCACATTGAACAGGGGTCAGATCTTCACAAGAGAAACCCTGCAGTCAGCTGCGATATTGATCTACTGCAAAATGTCAAAGCAACATCTGTATTTCAAGGTTACTTTTCCATTCTCAAGACTGGCAGCTGGATGAGGCAAGCTTGCTCCAAAGAGAGGATCCACAGCCTCATTCAAATTCAAAGTCACAGCAATTGCCCTCTTGCTCCCTTCTCTGCCAAAGGCCTGATCCCACCCCACAACCTGGTGACCCAGCTCCCAAGCTGACGCAGAGCCATCTTGCCACTACATATGGGGTCTGTACCTTGCCTACAACCAAAAAGCCCATAGATCACTCTTACCTATAACCCAAAAGGCCACTTGAAGGGCAAATTCATCACTAAAAATACCCTGGTTTCCTTGAGGCTGAATTAAAAGACAACTCAGATCAGATTTTGGACAGTTGCCATGGAGAACGTCAGGCTTTGAACAAAATGAATGCTGAGTGCAGTACTTTCACAAGTTGGAAGCCACCTTAGACTTTAATAAAAGCACAAACATCACCTTATGCAGAAACCGATAGCCATGGGGAGCGGAACCGAACAGATTTGTTGATGCCTCTGGCAGAAAACAACTGAAGAGAGCTACCAAGTTGCCCTTCAGTCCTCTGAGAAAAAGCTTTCTGGATGCAGACACACAAACACCCTGCAGGTAAAGCAGGCTGTAAAGGTACCGAAGCCTAGTGAATGTGCTGTGCTTGCCACCTGCGTGCATAATTTCACACCATAATCAAAGAAAAAGAGCAAAATTTTTGCTCTGACCACATGTATATGAGCAAAAAGTGCTGCAGTGGCCACCAGTTCACACTGTAATTCTCATGTAGACAGATTCCCTCCCCCTAAAAAAACCTGCTAAGAGTGTGTAACTGTGAATTTGTCTCCATTTTCGCAAGCAAAGTTCTTGAATAGTTGTTTACAGAGAGTCACTTAGCAGAATTTAAAAAGCTCATAACACACAAATTAAAGCCTTTAATGTTGGAGTATTCTCATTTCTTAAATAACCAACCTCACAGGCCATGCCAAAATTAACACAATCTTCCTTATAAGCTAGTCACATAATTACACAAACTTAATTTTACGTTTATTAATTTCTACAATTTTGACATTATCTTACAGCTCATTACTCTGGGTGCTAATAGAGTTTTGTCACAATAAAGGTCTAAATGAGAAGCCAAAATGAGTTCCTCGATTTGCAGTAATTAATCCAAGAGGATTTAATTCAGCTGTTGCCAGTGTTCAACACAACAAATAGTTGTGGTGTTTCAATTTACGACCTTTATGCCTTTCTACACAGTCAAAAACTTTTCCCACTCAGTCCTAGATGTCTCTTTCTCCAGTAACACTTCAATACATGCAATCATGTTTTAAAGTCTAGATGTCAGAGAAGTCTTTATCCCTTTTATCAGAGCCTGAGCCTTTAATTATCCTTAATTCTGCTTCATACAGGCATCACCCCCACACCAGAGTGCTTGATAGGAAGGATGCCTCTTTGTTCATCAGTTTTACTCCAGTCCAAGCTCCTTGTGGTTTTGTCTGTCCCTCTGCTCAGCATAACCTTGCTGTGCTCTCTGCTGTCCTCCCCCAGACAGAGCACCTGAGCCAAACTCAGGCCTTGACACTCAAAAGTGTGCAGGGCTGGGCCTCTCTGTCACTATCCACAGGATTATGCTTTACCCACCTGTGACGGGTAGAAGAAGAATCCATTTCTCTCCTAAATCACGTATTGCACAAGGAGATGCAGGTAAGCATGCCTGTGCCATGGATGAGAACTGGAACAGCTTGTACAGATGCACGTATCTGTATCTCTTCTGTACTCAGGTGGAAAAGCTGGACCCAGCATTTACAATACAATGGCAATCCATTGGCTAAAGGCAGGGATGCTACAAGAGCACATACTGACAAGTTTGACTAACCTGGATATCTACATACCCCTTTAGGAAAGGCACGTGCAATTCTCTCCCTGTAAAGTAACTCCCCATGGACCCATCTTCTCATCAGCCCACATGTTAAAAACCCCTTTGGGTCCAGCCTGCTTTGTAAAGCAGGCTACTGCCTAGTCCGCCTGACTTTGGACTTGGGTAAATCAGCAAGCAGTTATTAGACAAGTAAGAGAGACAAGAAAATGTGACCAAGTACCACAGGGTATGAGAAAAAACAGGCTACCTCTGCCTTTCCCTTCTGCCTATCAAGTCACGCTCCTGAGGGCAAGCGTTCCTTTTCTGCTCAAGACTGACAAGTTTCCAAAATGCTTTTAGTTTCTTGTAAGATCCTACAAACTTAGTTAACCTGAACTCCACCAAAGCTCAAAGTATTGTTGCACACTTCTTTTGACTACTTTCTCCAATTCTGCACTAGACGACAGAGACTGTCTTTCCAGATTTGAAAACTTGCCAATTAGGAAGTCCAGAGATTCTCTTTTAAGAATAAATTCCAATGCATACATATTTTAAATTAATATATACATATTAATTATTACACTATTCTTCTATGAAATCTCATGTACTGTAAATGCCACAGAAGAACACGGAAACGAAAATTCAAAACATTTCCAATGAAAAATGATTATGAGAACTAAATCAGAATAATGAAATAGGAAGCAACTGGATTGCAAGATATTCTTCTGGGAGGTAACAGCACCTTCAAATACTTTGAAACTGATGATTATAGCCAATGAATACATGGCTACAGAGCAGCTCAGGCAATTTCAGAATTAGTCGGAAGAAAAGCAGCTGTAGGAGGTTAAGTGGCTGCACTTGAAAAGTTCCCATTTTAAAAAACGCACTTTTGGAGAACATTTCTGGAATGCTTTGACATTCACTCATTTGGAGAATGCAACCGTCAGCTCCTTATGCTCAGGGGACAGATTCATGATTTAGATCCAGGGCAAACCGTTTGGAGATCCCAGGGTATTGCCAGCTGATTTCCAGCTGGGATCTCATATTTCAGATTTGAGGATTTCAGATCCCAGTCTGGCAGGGATCTCTTTTTTCATTTAGCCACTGCAAGAACCCTCTTACTTTCTTATGTGTTATGTGAAAGCTGTAGATCAGGTATATTTGTGCAGGGAAGCGGACAGATGAACAGAACACAGCCACCAAGACCCTCAAATGGATAAACAACAAACTTCGCCTGTACAGAAGACCCATGGGTAAGCAGTGATTACCTCAATGTTTCTGCTCAGTCCTATAAGCTGTGACAAAATTTACACGACTTAATTTACACCAATTGGGTACATCACGTCAGGGACTGAGCAAAAGATTTTGAAAGAAGACTTATGACCTCCTTCCTTGCATTTGCCAAAAGGTCTCTGTGCCTCACAAGTAAGCACCTCCAAGCCTTGGTTTTCCTGCCAAAAACTCAAGTATAGTCCTTTCACATGGGACAGTCAAGACTGTAATGAGACAGTACTCTACATAACCATTGTCAGTGCTCTGATGCTATGGACATGTAAGCTGTTGTTAAGAGATTTAATTAAAGCAACTTCTTGAGTTCCTTTTGGTAATTCGTGCCTGACCAACTTGGTGGCCTTTTAC